AAGGGAAACAAAAACCAGGAAAGATTAACATAGTCCTACACACCCAGAAGCTTCAAGGGTAAGGGACTTGTTTGACTTGAGCTCTTCCCTGGCCCCGGGCCCAGCTGAGCCTTCCCGTTCCTCTCTGACAGCTGAGCTCACACAGGCCTCTCTGAGTGTGCCAGCTCTGGGTGATATCAGCCCCAGCAGCCCACCGCTTATCGTCAAACCTGGCCACAGAGCGTGAGACCACACGAGGCAGCAGGCCACATGGGTGCGGTCAAGTCCCTTCCCCTCTTTGTTTGACTCATCTGCATGGGAAATCCCCCACTTTCTGTCCTCCCATCAGAGGGGACCTGAAATCCCCTCATTGGGGATACTCAGAAAACCTTAGAGATGGGGGTGAAGAGGAGGAGGGTTAAGCACGAGCAACCTGGATGTGAGCGATGAGAACGAGGGGCATGGGATGAAGGTAGACAGAACATGTTAGGTTTGATTCATTTCCTCACCCTGGCTCCATGCCAGCCCTCACCGGAAGTCGGCCTCTGAGCTCTTGAGTCAATGACTGAACACGTAATACCCAAGGCACAATCACAGGAGCGGGGGAAGGAAGCCAGGAAAGGGAAGTTGGGTGTGGGAAGAGGTGGGTCTGAGGACAGAGTGCACGCCCCATTAGGGCTGTTCTCCCCAGAGCAGCTATGAGGGAGCCTGGTGCAGAGCCCCAGCCAAGCTAGGCTGCTGCCTAAGGAAGATGTCTTGCCCACCTCTGCCCGGGCTGGGCCTCTGGGACTTACATAGCTATGAGGCGTGCCACGGTGGTCTTGAAACGGTCTAAGATGTAGCCAGTGGGGAACGTCATGAAGTTGTTCATGAAGGATGCCAGGGTGAAGATGAGTGAGAACCTCTCGTCCTGGGCTTTGCAGTCTGAGGAGAGAAAAGCTCTGAGGAGCCCGAGGAGGTTTACCACCCAGCCCAGGTGAGTACCCAGCCAGGGCTCCCCTCTCCTCGGACAGCTGGCCTGGTGGAAAGTTCTCCCTTAGGCTGAGTTGAAATGTGCCCCCTCCCATGATCCGTCCAGCGGTGTCCTTCCCTCCCCAGCACCTCCTTTACCAAGTGGGGGGACGTAGTGCTGACCCTCCTTCTCACCACAGAAAGGCTGGCAGGGCCAGCACCTTTCCACCCCTTCTTACTGCCCAGCAAACAGCCTCAGCTTGCCTAGAAGTCTTTGCTGCCCTTACCCGCCTGCCCTGTGGCATTGCCCAGAGGCCCAGCATCCAGGACACACAGCTTCTCAAAGTAATGCTCAGATTTGAAGACAGGCACCAGCGAAGCCCAGCCAAAGAGGACGCCAGCAAAGCCAAGGCACTCCAGCAGCCCAGTCACGAGGGTGGCCACGTGAAGGGGCAGGCCTTGGACCACCATGGCAGGAGGTGAGTGGATCCTCAAATCTCACTGTGTCCTCCTGGGCTGACCGCAGCTGCTGCAAGTCCTGGAGTTGGCGCCCTTGGAAAATTCCTCTGGCGATGCCTTCCCTTCGCAGAGCTCTCTACTTCTGGGTGTTTTCCGCTTGAGCAAAAAACATCAGTGGGTCCTTGTCTGGATCCTGCAAAATAAGGCAGAGGCTGCCTAAAATAGCTTGTGGGGAAGGCAGAGGTGGAGAATGGGTTCTTCATGGGGTGGAGGCAAGGGCGGGATGCTCCAGGCCACCGGGGGAAATGTGGGGAGTAAGCTGCTGCCATAGTCATTTCATTCACTGCCGTGTGTAACTCCTGGCAGGACATAAGGCCGTTCTCAATGACCCAGTCACAGGGGACAGTGACGACTTACCCGACACGACCCGACCCGGCAGCTGGTGGGGGGAAGTAGACGAAGCAGGAACTTCAGAGCTCCAATTCTGAACGCTGTCCACTAAAACAACAACCGCAACTCTGGAACAGGCGCAGGGGCTCTGGCGCTTCTAAACGAGCGCGCACAAATGCCCGCCACCACCTGGCGAGGCTGGTGTTATCTTCCGCTTACCAACGTGCAAACACAAGCTCCAGCAGCCCAAGGGCATTGGGCTAGTTAGTTCCCGCGAAGGCCAAGTCAATGCCAAAAAGAGCCCAACTCCCGACAGGATGACAAGGATCGATCCAGAGCCCAGTGCCTCCAGGACTCTCTCCCGGGCCCCCCTTCCCTGTCCCGCTGCGCTCCCCACATCCACTTCCACCAGGAAAACGCCCAGGGGCCTCCAGCCTCAGCCCGTGGGCGCCCCAGGGGTCAGCCAGGCTCACCGCCCCCTCACCCTGGCCCTGTAAGGAGCGCGCTACCCTGGGTCCCCGTTCCCCGGCCCTGCCCGGGCGTCCTACCCGCCCGCGCCTGCTCGTCGCTGGGGCTCTCTGGGCTCTTCCCGCGCTTGTCGCGCCGCGCAGGTCGAATTTGCGCCACCGGCCGCCCCTCCCAATCCCCTCTCGCCTCCGCCCGCGCCCGGAAGAGGCTGGGACAGGCCTCCCATTCTCCATCACTTCCTTCTTCTTCTCCCTCGATTACTCGCTCTCTCTCTCTCTCTCTCTCTCTCTCTCGCCCTTTTGGCCTCCCCTCTGAATCCTCCCTTCTTTTTTTTTCCCCCCCGCTATACCTCCCCTCTGAATCCTCCCTTCTTTTTTTTCCCCCCCCCGCTCCAACCCCAGCCACGTCTCCCTCCCTGTCTCTTCTAACGCTCTTAACCGAGTTCGTTTTAACGCTGTCACAAACATGGACCCACCCATGGAAAAGGCCAAGACTCACAGCCCAGAAGACCCACAGACAGCTACACACAGACGCACACTCTACCCCAGGAGCTTCACCTGGATCCCCTGGGTGCACATGGGACATGTTCTCTCCATCTGCCCACCAGGTCAGCCCTGGCTCCCAATCACACACTCCCAAGAGCTGCAGGACATTCTGACCAGAGAATCAGGGCTTCAAGAAGCAGGTCTGAAGGCTGTTCAGAAACTATGCCCTGGAGGGGTGCCCTGACCTTTCACCCACAGAGACCCCTTTGATTCCTCGGTGACCCACCCCCAGCACAGGTTCTAAAAGAGCCTTCCTGCCAGACTGCATTGATTATTCATTCATTGCCCCATTTTTTATTAATCAAAGACATAGATAATTGCCCACCGGAGCTGTGGAGCTGTGAGCAGCATGAGCTAGCCAGCCTAAGCAGCTGTTTTGCTCTCATCCCAGCCCAGAGCAAGGGAGCTGAGGTCGTCCTTGGCCTCCCTGGCTGGCTCTAGTGGAAAATACAGTTTGGGAGAGAGCTTCTTGCATAGTAAATGCAGTCTGCAGACCCCATGCCTGGCTCTCTGGAATCCCTGGGAGCCCAGGAAATCAAGCTGTTCCAAGCCTATCATCTTTCTAAAGAGGAAAAAATAGAGGTCAAGACAGTGGAAGGCCAAAACCAGGAGGTATTTTCCAGATTACTACCAGAACACAAAGGGTAAAGAAAATCTGGGACATCCCCTCCCCAGGTGACTTGGCTGAATGAAGAAGGGTGGCTGTGGTGGCTGTCTGTGCTTGGTCACTAGTTACACAGCCGAAGGCAAGCCCTTGGGCCGCCCCACGTGTAAGATGAGGACTGCAGTACCCTCATAACAGGAAACTCAACCAAGAGGTATGAGATGGATTCTGAGGTTCCTGCAGGGAGCAGGTGGAGTAGGAGGGTTATAGGGTAGTGGGTTTTCCAGTGTACAGTTACATAGATCCAGCCAGAGAAGCAGCGTTGGGAGGGGACGCCAAAGGAACTTGCCCAAGGCCACTCCAAGTGACAGAACCTACCTGACTCCCAAGCTGTGGCTATTTTTTTTTTTAAGAATTCCTTTATTTTACTCTATTTTCTTTATTTTAATTTGACCAGAGAGAGAGAGAGAGGTAAAGAGAGAGAGAGGGAGAGAGAGGAAGAGAGGGAAAGTGAAAAAGCAAGCCACCAGGTCTGGGACTTGAACCGCTGTCAGCCATGTGGGAGTCCAGGGCCCTTAACCACCACACCACCTGCTAGCCCTCAAACTGTGCTCTTAACATTCCTAGTATTAAAACAGCTACCTGGACATTAGAGAACACAAGTCTTTTCTTGGAAAAAAAAAAATTGATGGGAAAAATAACATAAAACTATAACCGCCCAGGTCAAATGGGTTTTAAGATGCAAGATTTTTTATTTTATTTCAAGACACAAAGACACTGAAATTAATGCAAACCCTCTCTCCTGCTCTGGCTTATATTTTGGTCTCCAGAGGACTTGGGGGATCAGAAAGTGTGGAAGTAGCAAGGGAGGAACAGAAAAAGTCAAAGCAAAGAGAGATTTTAGAATGTCAATGTGCAGGAGCAGGGAGGAAGGCCCCGCTCGCGGCTGTCTGGGCATCCAGGACTGGAACGCAGGACTTGGGCAGGTCGTCTGGGACTCTGACCCCCTTACCTTGTTAACTCTCTCTGCTCTCCATGGCCCCTCCACACCCCATCAAAGTTTGCACAAGGCACCTCCTCTGGTAAGTGGCAGGCTTACTGAAAGCACCGAGGCATGACATTACTAGAGAACAGCCCCTGAACCATTCCTGTCCTGCGTGGTTCGAGTTCCAGCAGCCAGCAAAGGCAGGCGTATGCTGATCACTCCCATGCTTCGCTCCAGTGAGGATTAACGTGGAACATCAGAGAGAGGAGTGATTATAATAAGGTCTGACGGTGCACCAATGTCTTCATCCCTTTTCGCTTCCTTCCGCTTCACCCTGCATCTTTTTTTTTTTTTTTTAATGTATTGATTGGCTCAACAGATCTATATGGAGCAGTGGGCTCTGGGCCAGATGCTGGGATTCAGAAAGAAGAGATGGGGCACCTTCCCTCAAGGAGCTCATTCTCTAGTGAGGGAGCAAGAGGAAGAAATTCAAGACCTCCATCGTGAGGAACCCGGTCTGTGCATTCAAAGACCTAGAGCCTGGATGGCAGGAACATTCCAGAACGGGCTGGGGTAAGGCTCGCAAGGGGAGTGGCAAGACTGGAGGCTGGAGCAGCTGCCTAAGTGGAGGCATTTGGATTTCTGCCCATATCGACCACTCATGTCCTACTGATTCTGCCCCTTCATATCTCTCCTACCCATCCTTGACTGCTGCCCTGTTCAGATGCTTGTCATCTCTCACACGGGCAGTACCTGCTTCTGAGCCACCAGCATTCTGCTGCCATGGTGTATTTCATGGTCTCCATTCAATGACACTACTTAGCTGCTCAAAGCCCCTCAGAGGCCAGGAGTTCACGCAATCAGCTGGTAAGGCCAGTCCAGGCTCTGGGGATACCAGCCATGGGACATTGCCCTGGGGAGGAGAGGGAGCATGGAACTGGATCTTACCCACCCCGCCCAAGGACTGCAGCTGGGAGCTTTTCTGCCCACCGCCAGCCTGTTCAGATGTCCAGGTTCCACCCTATAGATGTGTTTATGGCAAAGACAGGAGGAGGCAGGGAAGAATGGTTGGAGGGTAGTGTGGATGAGCTGCACCAAATCATCCCCAGCACGAGCAATGACTCCAGTTCACAGCAGTGCCACCCTCCAGAGCAGCCTCCACCTCGCCACTGACCTCTCTCCTTCAGTCTCCTCTGAACAACCTCAGCCAAGGCTTATTTCCTAACACCCTCAATTGCCACTCTCCGGGCAGGGTTCTAGGAGTCTCCTACCTGCTTCTGGCATCCCTTTCCAAGTTGTGTTGTTGTTGCTTTGTTTTGCTACAGGGCATGTGCATTTACTAGAGACAGAGAGAAAAGGAGAGTGAGAGAGGAAAAATGGGAAATCACACCCCCCCTTCCCCAGAAGGATGGCCACTCCGCAATCCCTTCTCCTCAGTTCTCCTCTCAGGATTTTGGGCATGCATACACATGCACCCGGCATGATTTTCAAACTGCCAGGTCCCGGACGCAAATTGCAGAGTTGACTCTGTGGGATCCCGGTGCCTTAGGCTCCATGCCACCTGCTGGCCCACCTTCTCAAATTTTTATACATAGCTAAACCACAAACCGTTCATATAAAGGGCTTTGATTTTTAATATGCCAAGCACATAAACAAACATTAAGTTTCTTTCCTTTCAAAATGTGGCCTCATGCAAGTAAAAATGTTTGGTTTTCCCATCTCTGGTCTTGAATGGGCTTTTAAGAGCTTATTTTGGAAGGCAAAAGGTGAAAATGCAAATATTTTCTCTTTCATTTCAATTGGGGAGAAAAATGCCAATGATGTAAATGCCAATGATGTTGAGACGATGCCAAAAAAGACATTGATGTTGGGCCAATCACTAATCTCTTGAGCTTCCGTCTCTTCATCTATGAAATAAAAACTGAAATCGAGTTGTTGTAGAGATTAAAGATAATGTATAAAAATGACCTGATTAACACACTCACTGAACCAACAGCTATTGTTGTTAACAAAAATTAGTTAAGTAATGAAAAAGGAGGAAATCAATGGGGGACCAGCAGGTGGCGTGGTGGTTAAGGTGCTGGACACTCCCACATGGCTGATCACAGTTCAAGTCCTGGACCTGGTAGCTTGCTTTCTCACTCTCTCTCTGTCTCTGTCTCTGTCTCTTTTCTCTTTCTCTCTGGTCAAATTTAAATAAATGCATGAATGAATAAAATAAAATTAAATAAATCTTTTTAAAAAAAGAGGAGGAAATCAAGTCAAAAGGAAGAAATGAAGTCCTGTCTGAGACAGATTACAGAGTGCTTCTCACCTAAAAAGAGGGCCAGCAGATGGCATGGATAAGATAGCTGGATCTCCTCATGGCCAACAGTGTGGTTCGAGTCTCGGAAATGGTGACTTGAAAAATACTCTGGGCACGGTGTGCGTGTGTGCCCAAGATCCTGAGGAGAGTGGAAGAGAAGGGACTGCAGCATGGTCCTCCCCCCTCACTTTCTTTCTCTGTGTCTCTGGTGAGCGCATGTGTCCTCTAGCAAAACTGAAAAAGGAAAGAAAGAAAGAAAAGAAAAAATGCAATGGCTGTCTAATGGTGAGCTGTTACCAAAGCCCTAACAAGTTGATCGCTAGCCAACACCTAAACACAGGTTAATGTAACCCGGAGCCTGAGTGAAGAGGAAGTGGGAGGAGCCTTAGAGCTGAACTCCTCAGGATGAGGGGGAAGCCTTGAGTGAAAGGGAAGCCTCCTTGCTCTGGGAAGGTCTTTCTCTAACTGAGGGTGAATCTGAAAACACACTCGAAGAGCACTAGAGAGAGGCCAGTCTGGCCAGTCAGATCAGCCAGCTCCGCCCTGGGCATGCTGGGCTCCCACAGGCAGAGAACAGAGCTGGGCTGCCCAGCCGCAGGGAGCTGAGGGTGGTCCCCATGTTAACAATGGGAGCCCCAGGCCTCAGCCTCAGGAACCCCCTGATTCCCACCTTCTCTCCCCTCAGCTTTACTTCCATAGTCATCAAATGAGCCAGTGTGTATTGGCAGCTCAATTTCCCCACGGAGCTGTGGTAGAACAGAAGGCTCCGGATACACTGACCGCATCT